ACAGTGTATAATTTATTATACTATGACTATGTGAGTAAAGGTTGACGTACGTCTATTATCATTGTAGAATTATAGTTTAGTTGACAGTGCGCTGTTTTGATGTTCGAGTCACTCTAATTGTTAATCGTCAGTGTGCTTTAAATGTGAATCAGTGCTAATTTAATTATATATATANTAAATGTGAATCAGTGCTAATTTAATTATATATATATATATTTATTCAGTAAAAATAAAAATGACAACGCGAAGTAATACTTATATTTATTTAATTGGTCAGCCTATTTCAACTGTACCAGGTAATTGTTTGCCGTTTAATGGTAAAGTATTAGGGTTTTTCTTTAATATTTATTGTATTGAAAAAAATTCGTTTCAATATACATGCAATAAAGTAATCGAAGAAGTTACATTTGTTTGGAATAAAGCAAGAATACCGACAACTCGAAAAGATAATGCTATAAATAAGTTTAAAAAACTTTATAATCAATGGCTAAATCTTTTCAAACATAAAAATAGAAAAACAGAGCTTCACCGACAACACGAATATGGGTTTCATATAAAAATGGCCAATCTCTTCGATATCGCTGATGCTGATGCTTTAAAAAAAATTAAAATTGAAGAAGATAGACAGTTTTTACTGGCACAACGGATGCCAGGGAGAAGAGGTTTTATGTCTACAGTGGACGTTTTTACCACGCAAAAAGAGAATCGTAAAGATAAACGAAAAGAAGAAGTTACTAATAAAAATTTGAGTAATTTTTATGATTTTACATTATTAAGTACAGAAGAAAACCATTCTAGTGATAATACTAATTCCGACGATGATTTTATTGTCCAGGAAAAAAAATCAAAAAAAGTTCAAAAAGTAAAAAGAAATTGAAACTTTTGAGCACATCAGAATTATCAGCTGTGCTAGATAGAACTAAGGTCAGTGATCGGCAAGCCACCTTTATCATTGGAGCTACACTAAAAAGTCTTGGAGAGAATATTGATACGTTTGCATGTAGTCGAAGTACAATAAAACTACATCGTAAGAAATTAAGGCAAGAAATGGCTAATTTTATTAAAGAATCATAAACAGCAAATGAATAGTTCACTGGGATGGAAAACTAATGTTGGACCTCACTCATTTACAATATCTGGACCATCTACCAGTATTGGTGTCAGGTGGAGATGAAATTAAATTACTGAGTATTAAAAAATTATCCTCTTTAACAGGAGAAATGCAGACACAAACTGCTTTCGATTTGTTTGAGTGAAAAAGAATGGAATTTATACAAAAATATCGTTGCAATGTGTTTTGATACAACATTTTCGAATACTGGTAAAAACAATGGGTCATGTGTACTATTAGAACGTAAACTTGGAAAAAACTTATTTTGGCTTGCATGCAGATATCATATTTTTGAATTAGTCATTGGAGCAGAATTTTAAGCAGTGTTACTTTCAGCGACAATAGGCCCTGATAACCGAATGTTTGTTCGATTTCGATCTTCTTAGTCTAAAATTGATCATTCTGCATACATTATAGCAGAAGAATATACAAAAGATAACAAATTTAAAAAAACCTACATTTTTATATTTTGTATAACTAAAATAAATTTTTTTTTATTCAGTTTTGATAGTTATTTATAACGAAAAAACCATTACATAGAATGCTACAATATAATTTTCCTAACTAGTTTTATCTAAGTTTAAATAAAGCAAAATTTAAATTTCTTATATAATATTTTATGGAAATATATGAATCTTTCATAAAATCCATATATTTTATTGCAAAAGAACTTCAGCGTCATTTATATGTCATTTCAGAAATCTACCATTGTTTTTTATGTAGCCTATATTTGATGAATAAATATGATTTAATAATGTACATTGTTAATGCATTATAATTCAACAAAATAATATTTTCAGAATAAAGAAAATATAAAATAAATTTCTATCTAATTAAAAAGAAACTGAATTTTATAACCGTTATAAATATTTCTAAATTTTAACTTAAGATTCCTGCCTTCAAATATATGGCTATTTCTTGATAAATATCGAAAATTGGGCAATTTTTTTTAATGTATTACTGCATATTTATTTAATGATAATTTACTTTTAGGTAAGGAGTAATAATACTGCATCGTCGCATCTGGTTGTTAATATACGTAAGCTCGTTAATAGCTGTATACCACGGAATGAAATCATCTTCTTTTTCCAAATATGATATTAAGTTGAAAGATGTTGAAATAGGTAGCTCTCCCGCTTTTGCCAAGTTAAACGAGTCATCGATTAATTGTGCTCTGTTAAGAACGTGTATATCTTTTGGACTAAATTTAAGTTGTTTAATTAATCTGGACCAATTTTCATCATCATAGTTTACTCGATAAAATCCTATACATATTAATTATTTAATATTTAAGTTGTTTGGATAAAAAAAAGTATTGATATAAAATTAGTATTCCATGAATTTGTAGTTAATGTAGTTTAAAAATTAATCATTTAAAAATGATATATTATTAAAATGTTTATGTTGATTAATAGGCTTATTCAAAGCTATAAGTAGCAAAAAGATACAGGACTATAAGTCCCGTCTTATATTAGCATTCCATGTAAAAATTCCAATTACTTTTCATAGAAAGAGGGCACTCTTATGCACTTTGAAATTAAATGAAAAATATTAACAGAACTCATAATTATTATAATGTTTTTTTTGCACCAAATAAATAAAACATTAAATTTTAAACTAAAAATATTTTAATAACAGCTTCTGCTAGAAAGTTTCCAAAAAATTAATTAATAATTATATAGGATAGAGTTGTCAATTTTATTTGTCACTCTTGTAAAATTAATTATTTTTCAAGTTGTATCATTATTCTTGCAACGGTTTGTTATACCTATATCGGTGTGTACAAGCCCCAACTAAGAGGAGGAGAGCAAAGAGCGGGTGCCTTAAAGTCTGTGGATGTATGGGGCCTACCTCAAATTTTACGAAGTAATAAACAACTGTTGATTTTTTTTTTTTGTTCATCATCAGAGTCGTTTCGAGGGAGCGTGGTGGTACATTAAAACTAGACTCACTAATCAATATTAAATCGTTTCAATCGGCAAGTTTTCAACATGTAGGGTTCCTACAAAAAAAATTAAAAAAAAACATTAATTAAAAATAACCTTATTCAATCGGAAAAAATAATTTCCCCCTCCCCAATTTTCAAAGAGGTCTTCCTTGCTCAACATGTCTTAGTCTTAGGGCCACACCAACCATTGCAATTTTTGAGTATTTATTTTTCTATTTTATAAAGATCAATAGACTTTTATGAAAATTTGATATCATTTTCTTCGACAAAATGTAATTTTTAACAATTAAACATTTCATGAGTATAAGAAGTCCAATAGGAGCTAAATTTTAGCTTCAATAGACAAATAACATATAGTAGTAAAATTATGGTTTCTTGGATTAGAAAGAGATTTTCTGAATAAATGTATTCTCTGAAAAATTAATAATTTTTAATTAAAGCTTTAAATATATGCTTAAGTTAAATGAAACACAAATTGTTTTAATAGCAATAGAACTCATAAAGGACACACTTTTATATAAGTATAATTTACCTGTCGATTGTAAATTAAAAATGAACCACCCTTCGTCATTAATTTGTAATGTTTTTTCATTATCATTAATTTTTAACCATTCTGTTGGTTTTAAGTTGTAAAATTCTTTTTTGATTTGTGTAGTATATGTTAGACCAATTAACCATTTCGACTTGCTTGACGAAGTATTATTTCCGATCAAAAATCGTTTCTGTAATAATTAAATTCATGCATGTAACTGTATTATAAATAGAAAAACTTAATCAAGAGTAAATATTTTTCGATGTATGTATTAAAATATTTTCGAATACAAAAATTAATAATAAGATTTCTATTTTTGTGTAGCTACAAAAGCAAATGTTCCGAACAGCTTGTTTCCTCACTCACTTCAGATCTTCGTTCCTATTTCTAAAAAAAAATTCGTTCTCCTTTTTGTTTAAGAATATTCAAAAACCTACTATTATTATTATAAGTTATATTATTAATATTTAAAACATTTTTTGAATAGGATCAATTTGAACAAATTGTTTGATATAGCTAAGTTAATTTCTCCCCATTAAAAAAAATGTTTAAATGTAAATTAATATGTATTTTCAAAAATATGTTGAGCAATAATTTGTCTTATTGTCTATTAATGTCTCTTTCTTTCTAATTGGTGCTGTGTATTTACCTCCTTATTCTTTCTCTTCAGTTGTTGATACTCATATTCTTTCCATTGAACAAATCATCTTAAACTACAAGTCACAGTTTGTTCTATTGTGTGATGATTATAACATACTTAATGTTATTTGGTCTTCCGACAGTTTAGGGATTCTGTATCTGGTAGTTATTGTTCAATTTCTTCTTCCATAATAGACTCTTTTTCTTATTTTAACTTTTTTCAGTCATCCTAAAAAACACGGTAGTTTTTCTCGATCTTTTATTTTCTATTTTAATAATGTATCGGTAAATTTATTTTTAAGCCCACTTGTAATTCCAGATCTTTACCACCCTCCTTTTCATATTAAGTTTCCTTTTCAAACAACTCCCTACTCTAATAATACACATACTTACAAAGATTTTAAAGGTGCCCAGTATACTGGAATATCTCAATTTTTTTAATTCCTTTAACTGGGAGGTTACCTTCTATCTTTACTCCATTAATGATGCCGCTTTTGTTTTTAATGATGCAATCCTACATTCTATTATGCTCTTTGTTCCTGATGAAATTTTTAAAACTCTCAAGTTCCCTCGTTTGATAATATCTACTTTTAAAAATCTAATATTTAAAATGTTAAAAAGGGCCAAATAAATAATTTTAATAGAAATTCGGTAGTTTCATTTTCTAATAACTGGCGCGACGATTTAGTTAAAAATTACACAAACATTATGTTTTCCGCTAAAGAAACTGAAATACTTAAGTTGGGTTTTAAAACAAGTATTTTACTAAAAAAATTTCCGATGGAAAATCAACTAGTAAGCATTGAAAATGGTGGTTAAAAGTGTTGATTTTAAAAATCAAGACTTAGCAAAAAAAATTCTGTTGTAAATAGAGGGGGTTTAGAAAAAATTAAAAAACATTCACAACTCATACAGGACTTAAAAAATAAAAAATGTTTTTATTTAAAGTCAGATAAGCGAAATTCTATAGTTATACTAAAGAAAGAAAATTATTTTGAAAAAGTATTAAAAATTATTCAAGAGGGTCCCTATAAAGAAATTAAAAAGATTCCATTAAGTAAAATGAGAAGGTAGGCTACAAACGTTATCAATAGTTCAAAATTAATAATTCAAGAAAAGTTCAGAATTTTTTATTAAAATTTCAAACTCTCAAATACCTAAACTATATACTTTGCCAAAAATACATAAGCCAGGAAATAATATGAGACCTATTGTGTCGAATATTAATGTTCCGACTTACAATTTGGTTTAACACTTAGTAAAGGTATTTTCATATATTAAATAACAATTCGATAGCTTTTCAGTTAAAAATAAGATTGATTTAGTTCAACAATTATCTGGTTATACTATTCAAAATAATGACAGGTTAATTTCTTTTGATGTAGTAGCCTTATTTCCGAATATTATGATAAATATAACAATTGATTTTCTTAAAGATTGGCTAAGGAACAAAACATAGAACAGAATAAAATAAATGAGCTTATTAATTTAACAAAGTTATGTATGAGTCAAAATGTTTTTCAGTTTCAAAATAAATTTTATGAGTAAACTAAAGGTTAACTAAAAATCAAGAAGTTGAGAAATCTCATTGTTACAAACAATGAGAACAATAGAAACCCGTTTCCTGACTTACTGAACACCCTGTATATTAAAGCCCGTGTATTTAATATCCGTGTATAATACCCGTGTAGACCCGTGTATTTAATACCCACGCTTACATTGTATATGAAATACGATTTTACTTAAACATATGAGTATTTAATGTTACAGATATTTTTACTACACGGCCTTTAACCCCGTCATAGGTAAAAACGCGGGTACCCGTGTAGTTCATCACACGTGTAATCGCGACCTCTAGTCAGTATGTATTTAGCGTTGATAATGATAATATTGTTTCAAAAATACATATCCGCGACTTTTCAGTAATTTTTTTGTGGCTTTTGTATTTAATATTTTTAACTTTTTTAAATTAATAATATTTTTAATATAGTTTTAATTTTATTTAATTAATTAATCACAAGTGATCAATTCTTATTATATTCATTGTTGACTTACCAGTCATAAATCAAACTGACTTTTAGATACCAATTTCTCATTTCTTATTCTCTTATCTATTACCTTTTTCCAAATTTTTATACTACAACTCATAATCTTTATGTCTTTAAAATTTCCACACTCCTGTATGTGTTCCTTTACCTTTAAATATCGACACAACAATATTATTCCTCAATTCATTTGGGATTTTCCCTTCTAATAAGATTTTATTAAAAGATGCTTCAACCGCCTTATGCCAATACAACCATTATATTTTCCATACTTCTACTGGCACTTCATCTGGTTCTACAGCTTTATTATTTTTCATTGATGCCACAGGCACCCCTACCTCTTCACTTATTAAAGCTACCAGTTCCTAATTCCACGAGATATCCTCTAATGCCTCTTTTGGATATTTCTCATTCAGTAATTGTTCAAAATACTCTTTCCACCTTTTTTCACATCATCATCATTTGATAGTACCCTATTATCAACACTTCTTCCTTGTCTATTTCATCACACCCTACTTGTGGTGCATAGGCACTTATTACATTCAAGACTTTTTCCTCGATAACTAGTTTTACGACTATAGTTCTGTCATTTTTCCTAGTTACTTCTACTATTTTACTTTTCATCTCCTCATATGTTATTATCTCTACATCAATCTTTGTATTAGACTTACCTGAGTATATTATTTTATAACCCTTACCTATTTCTTTTGCTTACACTCCCTTCCATTTAGTTTCCTGCATACAGCAAATGTTCACTTCAGTACTTTTACTAATTCCCTACTTCTACCATTTAATATTCCTACATTTCAAGTACCTATTTTTACTTTGTATCTATTTTTCTCCCTTATACACGAGTCCAGCCTAGAGTTAAGTGGTGATGTATCTACACTGTTTATACAACAAGTGTTGGATAGACCTGTACACATGACTAGTGAAACAGCTACCGCACAAATTGTCTGGCTGATATCAAACACTTTATTCCATAGGCCTTCTACGTTTTTAACTACTTTATTTCCTCTCGCCTGTTGTCCTTGCGTACATCCGAGATGGGACAATCCGTCTAAGTTTTGTACAGGACTCCTCATACTATTTAACAAAAATTTTACACCGGCTGTCGACCTCAAGCAAGCTCATTAGTTGCCTCTTACGATTAGCAGAGTGGAGTATTTTTATCCCCTATCCATAGGGACATAAACTACAATAATACATACTATTTTAATATTATATAATATAACGTAGCGTCGGGGTCGTAGCAATACTTGAATTTTATATTTATCAGTTCATTACCGTTATCAATTAATGTCATTTAACCATAATCTTATAAACATTGATGCTTTATCAGTGAAGACTATGGTGATAGTAAACTATATTATATGTTTGCATTATTACATGATAAGATTTTACTTTTTGTTATTTAATGGTTAGTAATAAATAATTAGTATGAGATATGTAATTTATGATAATGTAAAAGTTATAATATATAACTTATTACCAAATTAAAAAATAGTATCTTATGCTATTATCACAATTAAAATATAAACAAAACGCCTCATATTCATATCAGTTCAGAACCACGAAAACATCAGGACTTCAATTATGAATGTCCTGTCCAATGGACAATTAACATGGACAGTGTCCATGTTAATAAGAACTATACATTTAATTACGCGACAAAAAAGTCGTGATAAAAACAATTACAAACATAAATATCTTGCGTCTGGTACGAATATTAATGGTTCTTAGCTACTTAGCTAGCGATGAATTCCAAATTGAAAGAGTACAAAATCGTTTCTTATCTTATACTGTTTATTTACTTAAAATTGCCACCCCCTCATGATTACTCTATTATTCGGTCCACTCTTAGTATCTCTACTCTTGCTTCCAGGCGAGTTGACGCTACCCTTCCATTTATCAATGCGTTCCTTAATGATTTAATTAATGCACCAGATCTTTTGTCCTCTGTATCTTTTCGTGTTCCATCCTGCCCACTAGAAATTACTATCCCTTTCATGTTCCCTCTCATCGCACCTCTTATAATAATACTTCTCTACACACAATGCTCAGCTCCCTTAATATTTCATAGTTTTTGGTCACGTCTACTTCTTATATAATAATATTAATTTAATAATCTTATATAATAATTTCTCTTATGGATATTTAAACGTGATTTTTAAAATTATTACATGTATACATATTTTATTTTTTGTTCTTTGATATAGATTATCGTGTATATTATTTTTGAAAATTGCCTTTTTGCGCGTTCGATATTCAAATAAATAAATAAACATATTATTAATAATTAAATCATTCTTTGCATAGGATCAATTTTAACAAATTGTTTGGGATATATAATTTCATTTCTTCCCTTGATTTAAAAAAAAAATTTTTTTTTTTTTTAGGAGAGGCTACGACAAAGATTTATCCTGTGTTTTCACGATATCACTTTTTTAATGTGTTAATTTGTATAATATTATTGACAATAATATTAATATCAGAGTGGTATATAGGTGATTATTTTAACACTAGCCACCCAATTTCTCTTAAAATAATATTTTTTTTGTACATATTTTTTTGGATTTGATATATGTATGTATGTATCTTTTATGTTTTACTGGCGTATCAAATTAATGTTTTTAAATGTCAACATATGTATTTAACTAGCTTATAAAATAGAAAATGATTGGACAATAACAACTTTTGAACCAATATTTCAGAAATTATTCACATTTTTGTACATAGGTAGGGGAGGAGTGAAGCAAAGAAATTTCTAGTGATAAATATAGTAGCTCCCACTTCTCAACTTCAGTTTAAATATTAAGTTGTTAATAATTTCTGAAATACTGGTCCAAAAGTTGTATTATAAGGTTTTTTACAAAGAATTAATGAGAAAATTGATTTATTTATAAATACATAAGGAATGTATTAATAATGGAATGTAATAAAGGAAGGAAAAGGAATATATGTTGTAGTCTCCACAAAATTCTTAAAAAATATATGTGTTATAAATACATTTTCTTAATATTATGTATATGAATTAAAATAATAATATGAAATTTTGTATGTGTAATTCTAAATTACCTGTGTAACAGAATATGATTTTTTATTTTGATATGCGACATTGATTATAGGATAGCCTTCATTTTCTGTCCATGATCGCATGAAATCTCGAATTTGAATATTATCTGTAAGTTTGTAATCAGCTTCGTATAATACACTATCGATAGAATCCCACATATCTTTCGGTTTTGTGTTTTTATATCTAATTTAAATTAAAAAATGTAATGTTTTATTTCATTGAATTATTATATTATTCAAATATTTGTATTAATAAAAATGTTACAAATATCTCCAGAAAAATGTGTAAAAAATAAGAAAACTCAAGTGTTATTTAGAGAAAAAATTAGTGTATGTGTACACTAATTTTATTATTATTTTAGATTTATTGTGACGATGATATAATATTAATTTTTCTATTGTGTATTTTAGCTTCAATGGGAAGCTGAGAAGTTATTAATTTTACATTATGTGTTTATTTTTATTTATTTTTTTTTTGTGTCTGTCACTACTTTTTCTTTCGATTGATTTTTCTCAACGATATATCAAAAGAGCACAAATCGTATTAAGTCATTACCCTCGAAAATTGATCCCTTGTAAATGGTAGAAATGCCCCCAAAAAATACAATTTTTAAAATCAGTAAATTTCAATATTTTTTCTTAAAACTGTCATAACTTTTCTAATAATATACGAATCGAAATGATTTTTTTCATATTGAAACTTTAGGTATTTCACTTTTATTTAAAAGTTTTTTGAAAATCTGACCCTTTGCTTACCTACAGAGAATTTCAAAATAGCAATTGAACTTTTTCAGCTTAACTTTTTAAAATGTCCCCGATATACTATGTCTTTTAAATATATGATACATTAAAACTTATGTCACATACTATAATTTAAAAAAGAAAAAAATGTTCTGACGACCTATCATCTATGTAAAAATGACTGCTGTAGTTAAAAAAATTGTTCAATATTTTTTTAATTTTGTACATTTCCCAAAGTTATGAAAAAAAGTTTATGATATTTTCTCTCAATAAATTCAATATGAAATTGTCTATTTGTACATTTTTCTTTTAAATTTCAATATTACACAGTTGTTACTTTTTAAAAAATGTACAACTTGGCGATATTTTTATACTAAAATACCTTACAATGATTTGCCATAATAATGAGTCCATCGATTTTCATAAAATTTACATGAATCTAATTTACTTTGAATATGAAGTTTAACTTATATGGGGAGGGGATATATCGATATGTACGTCAAATGAGAAAACGTGATCAAAGAAAATAGGGTTTCTTAAAGGAAATGGTTGATAAAAATTTCAGAGCTCTAGAGTCTAGAAATACGTGCGATTTTAGGTAATTTTTCAAAGAGCTGTTGTTTAATTTACGATGGCAAGTTACAGTGGTATGTAGGCGGACTGTATATACGTTAGCGTGTGCCTGGCATCAACAGTAATAGATTTATTAAATATTTAAATCAAACAATAATTATTGTTATTATAATAATTATAATCAAACAATAGGTGTAAAGTTAATCAATGACATGAGACAACAGCTATTTTCTTGTTTATAATATTTATATGAATTCTATAAGGAATTTCAATGCTAATTCTGAATATATATTTAGATTTGTTGAATTTTATAAAGAATAAATTTAATATTAAAGTATATTTAGCACATAATTTATAAACCTTTTTAAATAATTAATTATAAAATTGTTTTACGTAAAATCTTAATACACCATTATGTTTATCGTTAAAAAATTCAATATACTGCCTTATATCATTACTTCAATTACTTAAAAATTAAATTATAATAGAAGATATAAAAAAATTTTTTTTTAAATTTTCCTGTATTTTTAGTATTAATAACATTTTGTTCGTTTTATATTTATTTAACATACACAAAGTTAATTTTTTTATAACCTTTTAGATTATCTATTTGTTGGTTAAAGTTTCGTACCTTAAGGTTAAACCAAATAAAGTTATACTCGCAAATTCAATTTTTTTTTTTAACTGACCTCAAACTCAACTTTAAAGATCCAATAAATCGGTAAATCTTGATGAAACTGTCCCAATATTGTTTATTTTATATTAAATATCATGAAATAATTTAAAAAAGTTAAAATTTTTTATGATGATTTTATTGTGCAATTATTGATTAATTATTAACTAGTAATTATCTTAAAAACTAAGTATGATACAAAAAATTTGAAGCAAAATCAGGGTCGAAGCTCCTTATAAAATTCATAGAAAAATTGTAAATGATAAACATTTTTTTTCTTATTTGTTAACTTGTATAATCAGACAATACGCTTATAATTAATAAACAATCAGTCCATAGGTGTAGAGTTAATTAATTAAACAATCACCCCCTCTCATATTCACACAACCGATATGGGTTTGACTGAGGACAGGGAAAACACTAGTGCTCTGTAATGAATTTTTTCCGTGAATGTCCAAAATTACTATACTACTTATACCTACAGATTATCATCGCATGCAAAAGCGCTATTTGAATAAAATGTTTAAGAGATCTAATTTAATCCATAAAGTTTTTTTTTTAATAAATTAAAATTTAATTTTCATAACTTTTTTTTTTAGGGGAGACAGTGAAATAAATAGAGAGTTATGCTCTTTCCGGACCCTTCAAATGGCATCTATGATTCTGTGCTTTCAAGATATTACGTTTTTAGTGTATTAATTTGTTTAATATCATTGATAACTTTTATATATCTTTATAACTTTATATAACTTAATATATTATAATAGATTTTAAATTAATAACTTTTATATACGAGGTACGTCCAGAAAGTAAGTTCCGTTTTCTATTTTTATGGCGTTTGCGATGTTATCTTAATTACGGTCATATCCGATTATTTCATTTACTTATTGGGAACATTTTAAAACCATTCCGTGACTAGTTAGTGTATGTACGTCACGTGGCTAGTGTTTTAAAATGGATAAACGAATAGAAAATTATGCCATATGTGAGTTACGATCTGTGATTCATTTTTTAAATGCAAAGAATATCAAACCAGTTGATATTCATCGTCAAATTTGTGAAGTTTATGGAGAAAATGCTACGAGTGATTCAATGGTTAGTAGATGGGTGCGATTAATACGATTAATACGTACCTCGTATTAAAATTGTAAAATATTGATAATATAATGGAGATATTTTCTAAACATCATATAGATAGAACCCCTTCTATCTTCTTCTTCGGGTAAACGGCCACTATGACCATCCTGTCAAACACCCCTCCCTCCAGCTATTTCTGACGAAGGCTCGTTCCTTCCAATGTGATCCTCCACCTAAAGCACTTACATATTTTTTAACTAGATCTTCCCATCTTATACTAGGTCTTCTCAATGGCCTTTTCCCTGCTGGATCCTTTTCTAATATCATACGTAGCAAGAGATTCTAGCTACGCCAAGCATGGTCCAGCCCACTTTAGTCTTTTACACTTTATTGTCTCCACTATATTCGGCTTATGGAAAAGTAGTTTTAGCTAATTATTTGTTCTTATTCTACAATTATTGCTATTGATATCTTTCATAGTTACATAAATCTTCCTTAGAACTTTTTTCTTCCATACTATCAGCTTTCTTTCAACTTCTTTTCGTAGTGGCCATGTTTTCGCTCCGTAAGTTATAACTGGACGCAATAATGTCATATATAGCTGTATCTTAAGTTCTCTCGATAAAGCTCTAGATCCTAACAGTTTTACCAGCCCATAGAAAGTTTTATTGCCGGCAATTATCCTTGCTGAAATTTCCTTTGCTATCTCATTCTTTTCAGTTATAACTGATACTAAGTATTTAAATTGCGTTCAAGAATGGGTACATATCCGCAGTTTTTCGTCGACCAACGACCATGTACTCTGTTTATCTGTATTCCAACTTTCAACGCCATTCTTTGTAGACCATCGAACAGAGATTTCAGTGCATTCGATGATTCCTCCATTAGTACTAAATCGTCCGCGTACGCCAATAGGCCTATTGAGGAGTCCTGCATTTTTACTCCTTCGTCGGGTCTAATGTTCATAACTTTAATGATTTTCTCTAATACTATATTAAATAACACTGGCGACATTGAGTCAACCTGTCCCAAACCTTATTTTACCGATATTGGCTCCGTTTGACTACTTCCGACTTTGACTTCAACAAATGTCTCTGTTGGGGTCAGGGGCACTAAATATTATAGTGTGTACCCAAACCGGCTAATTGCACCAATACCGATCAGGCTGCGTAGTGTGATATATGTAAATAGAATCACTGGAGGTGGGAGGGTTCGCCTGCGCAGCAACCAGTGATCTATGTAGTGAAAGATGTGTAAGTGTGTATATCTGTAAGTGTGTACTATTAAACTAAATAAATAAATAATTTAAACCTTTTTACAATAATTAATAAAAATATTTTCAATGAATAACTTGACTAGATAAATTTAGCCCTTTTGGCTCAACAAATAATTATATACTCTGAAAAATCTAACAAAATAACAACAACAATGAACTATACAACTTCAATAAATCAATAACAAATGAATATGACTCTTCCAATAATAAATGACTCTCAACTGACTCTTTAAAGTAATTATAGTAATAAACAATATGTATAAAAATAACTCCAAAAACAATGGTGTAAAATTATCTAAATTAATTAAAAGGACAATATAAAGAATAATAGTATAAAATTCAATAATAAGATGTAGTAACTAAATTAAACAAATTTGAGTAGATAATAATTATTACTAAAATGACATTGAACAGATAACACAAAATTAAAGATAGTTTAATAATTTAATGATTAACCCACAATATAAAACAACAAATACCTCTTTCTAACGTATCGGTGATTGACTTGGTAGTGGCCTGGCCAAGTGGATAGGCCTCCACCCATCTACTATAGCAGTCCGTTGCTACTAGTAGGCATGTTTTCCCGCGCGCAGTCCTGGGATATGGGGCCATAAGATCAATACTTATGACCTCCCATGGCTGGCGTGGCTTTCTCGGTGTCATCGGATCTTGCGGTTTCCAATTCAAAGGCTTGACACATGCGCAAATGTGACACCTCGCGACGTATTGTCTCACCGATTCCCTAATACCGGTCCAGTAGAAACGCTTACCGATGCTACGGTAGGTTTCTTTCCAACCTGGATGCCCGGCTAGTTCATGGTCATGATACCTCCATAGTAGGTGA